GTACCCATCAACTGATTGGCATACATCACCTGGTGGGCCTGTTGCCGAGCCCTGATAGGTGGCGCACAAGCGCCCTGAAACACCGTAGCCGCACTCGCGTCCCCCATCTAGTTCCCCTTCGAGTTCTGGGGGAACTTGGACTCCCCGTCCGCACAGACGCGAAAGCATGCTGGCCTGTGACGCTGGACAGGTATATCAGCATCAGCAGCGTCATAAAAGACGAGCGACAGCAGCATCTAGCGATTCGCGTTGCACCGATCCGAAAAAAAAATCGCATACCAGGTTTGGTGTCAAGCGTCGAAAGCCGGCCTCGCTGGGCCCTCCACGTCAAAACAGCAGTCGTTCGAACCGCCCCCGCACGTGCCCGTCGCGGCAAATACCCGCAGTCGCAATACGGAACGTCCAGAGCCTTTCTCTGGGCAGTCTTGCCCCGCATCTTGCCGAAGGAGCACAACCACTGCAGCAAACGAGCACCCAACGTCCTCAGCTTTCCGTTCTCTTTTGGGAGTTGATAGGTGAAGGATAGGTCCCGCTACGACTAGAGAGAACGTTCCGCTGCGCTACGAGTCGCCCATGCTGCCTAACTTTAGCGAGAACGCTAGCGATCAACCGACCACAAAGCTCGCCACGACCTTTCGGCGGCACCGATCCGAGGCCAGCAACTCGATCACGCACGGCGGGGCGCTCAGAGAGAAGCAACGACCATATCTCATTGGGCGCGCTCCACGGTGCAGCAGCACGACGACGCCGATCAGCACGAACACCTCTAGCTAGTCGTTCAAGATCCTTCCGCCCCAATTCCCCCTCCTCCATCGTCGGGAAATCGTTCGCGTCGTATCCCGACGCCTGGCTAAGAAGAGGTCCCCATCGATAGGTTTGGCCGACCCCCCCCCCCCCCCTTGCTGAACGGCATGGCTAAGTCCTCGACCCACTCCTGCATAGACGGGGCGTATTCAGCGACATGTCCAAAACGACGCCTCCTGGGCCCCTCCCCCGCTCCAGCCATGAGCCGACAGATGCGCCACTCCTCGGAAGCCGAGCCCTGAGCCTGGGCCTCTGCAAGCTCCTCGGCAAGTTGCGGCTCTCGAAGTTCACGAAGCTTTCGGCGAGCAGCGCGACATTGGCGAGAAGCACGAGCAAGTCTAAGCACAGTATCAGCCTCATCAGCGACTCCAGCACGCGCGCGACCACGAAGCTTAAGAAGCCGAACGCTTTCCTGGGCAAGGGCCTGATAGGCAGCAGGAAGAGCCCTGGGAGTCGCATCAAAAAACTCGAACCCCTTGGAGTGGATAAGAGACACCACCGTCACCCACGCCTCTTCGAGTGAACCAGCATCCCGCACCATCTGCTCGACGGACACATACCCTTTTTCTTCCAGCAGCCTCTGAGTATCAGTCTCGACGGCCTGTCGAAATACATCAGCATGAAACTCACTACGTAGTGCCTGACCAAGCCCAACAACATCCCATCGCTTGCGTCCCTCTTCGGTCTTGTGACACGGCCGAATATCGACCTCCAGGATGTGTGGAATGCGGTCTCGTGGCCGGCTGTCAGGAATGGCCTGAAGGAGACGCGCCGACTTGTAAGCTTGCGAAAAACGTCGAACTCGCTGCAAATGCGAAGACGGAATATGTTCAATCCACGATACACTCTGCGCTCTGACCTTCGGGCTGGTGTCGAAGACGTTCGAGGCTGGCAATGCTGTGGCAACGTCTGAGCCGTGGCACCCGCGAGGAGCAGGTGCCGACGACGTTCCTGACCTTCGAACCTCCCCCGTCGATGTCGAAGCGACGCGGTCCCGACCAGCCGCTTCCAAAGAAATTTCGTCAGGCACGGCCCCAGGCACAACAGCGACGATCGGACCGTGACCCCCTCCAGGAGCAGAGGCCACAAGCGTTCCTGGCCTACGAGCCGCGCTTGACGGTGTCGAAGCAACGTGGCCCCGACCAGCCGTTTCCAATGGAATTTCGTCAGGCACGGCCCGAGGCAAAACGGCGACAACTGAGCCGAGACCCCCTCGAGGAGCAGGGGTCTGCGACGGTCCCGACCCGAGTCCCACGCTTGTCTTTATGCGGAGCTCCGTAATAACTTGGGCCACCACTCACGAATGCGTTGGTAAACGGCAGCCCGAAGGTTTCATCAAGCCCGCGCAACAAAGTTCCAGCCTGGCGTTCAAGAGCACGACCATACGGGCCAACCGCACATGAGTCAATCTGAACCACGCCATGCTTTCCAGTAGTGAGGCCCACACCATCATTCACATCTGAAGCCACCAGTGGACACGTGCGAGCAGGTAACGGCGATAGAACATTCTGTCCCAAATCATGCGCACGTTGAGTGGTAGTACTCAGTTGTATTTGTTCTCGTGGGTCGCGTGACCGAGGTGGAGGATACTGAGCCGCAACCGTTAAGTCTCCATAAAAAAACACTTTACTCGTATAGCAGCAGCACGGCCCCTGATATCGACTGGCGCGGTCCATATACGCACTACACCACGTGCTCGCACTGTCGACTTATGTAGGTAAAAAGCGATACCGCATGAACTATTCGTACACGAACCTTTGGGGTGCCAGCCGCAATGGACCACCTTGAAACCAGGAAAACCTTCCACATGGTATGGGGCATTCGGAGAACATTCCCGCTGCATTCCGATGAGCACGAGTACATCAATCTTGGAAAACGCAGATTGTATCTCCAATTCTCTATCACGATCAAAAACTGATAACGGGTTCCAGTACAGCAGCCGCAGGTCCCCGCCCTCCTGCTCTATGCCCACGACCTGCCACTCTGAGTTCCAGTTCAAGTCCTCAGCGAAGCAACACTGGCCGTGCACCAAGCAGTCCAGCACGAGGAACGGCGGCAACAGCACAAAAATGAGAAGAAAGGCAATGATGGATAGGGAGTAAAGAGAGTAAGTTCGATATCGGGCGGGCGGGGGCCTTGCTTTCGAGGTCGGGGGGTCCTGGCCTGGCCGCGCGCCGAGCAGCCGCAGGGGCATAAAAAGCCTGGGCCGCGCGGCTAAAAGGAGGAGGAGGAGGAGGAGGAGGAGGAGGAGGACGAGGAGGAGGAGTAGGCGGATCGAGGGGGGGAGGCGCAACGAGGAGGAGGGAAGGGAAGGAGGAGGGAAGGGAGGGATAGGGGGAGGGAGGCGCGGAGCAACGGGGAGAAACGCAGGGGAAGCGCGGAGGAGGGAGGTGGCGGAGCGGCAAGAGGGGAGGTAGGGAGGGGGGGAGGCGATGCGCGAGGAAGGAGGAGGAGCGAAGGAGGTGAAGGAGGAGGAGGAGGACGAGGAGGAACGAAGGAGGAGGATGAAGAGGAGGAGGAGGAGGAGCCAAGCTGGGTGCGCAAGCGCTTCCTCTGACGTCCTGCCCCTCACTCCCAGCCCATCCCCAACCTAGGAGGCAACTGCTGAGAGGTCTTCGTCGGACAGATTCGGGAGGAGGTCTCCTCAACCTCCTTTTCCTCCTCCTCCTCTTCCTCCTCCTCCTCCTCCTCCACGCCCTCCTTCTCCATCTCCTCCTCCTGCTCCTGCTGCTCCTCCTCCTCCTCCTCCTCCGCCAGATTAGGCCGCGAACCAGGCGGGATCAACTTGGAGCAAGCGGGAGTAAGCCGGTCTTCGGACCAGGGCAAGGTCTGGATTTGACCTCCCAAGAGTTGCATCCAAACCTTCTCATGGAGTAGGTCTCCTCTCTGTTGGCACAGCCGGGTTTCGAGCAGGGCAATGGTCCAGAGAGGGTGCGAGATGCATGGTAGCGCACGGCGTAGCAAGGCGCAGAAAGATCACGGCAGAGCGTAACATGTGCGGAGAGAAAGCGGACATGACGCAAGACGAAGAATGTGAACGAACGGTTCTGAAAGAGCGGAAAAGCAAACTAAGGGCCAACGCTGTAGCGGGAGCACGATTCGGAGGATCGGCGACAAAGAAATGAGGTCAGCGCTGCAGCGGGAGTTGGATATGAAAGAACTGATAGCCAGCCAACGATGTAGCAAGAGAGCCATTCGGAAAACACCGCAAACACTCGGACTGGAAAAAACAACACATAGGATCGATCACGTGTTTGGGGATCCTACGTTTGCGGAAGGGGGGAGGAGGCTACGACCTCGGGGTCTTCGGGGGAGAGGGGAGCAGCATTCGTAGTATGCACGGCATGTTCGTGTCGTGCCGAATTCGGCGTTGGTTCCTGACACCGCGGGAATCTTTCAACCTTGAACGATCGGCCCTCTCCGAAACGTTGCATTCTTCAACATCGACCGATTCTTGGTCGCTGGCGGCTTTCGACGCTGAGTGCCAGCAGCGTGGTCTCCGCTGGTCGACACGCTGGGTCCGCAGGACGGGAATTGCAACACCGTAAGATTAACGCCCAGAATCGTGGACTTCATCTGTCTGCGTTATTTCCTTCAAGCCAGATCGCTCCGTGAGGGTCCCGGGGCCGAAATGGAGCGAAGACATCCATGGCTGGGGAAGCCAAAAAGTACCGATACCGATAAGCCCTGGACTTGTGACCAGGGGCGCGTTCTGACCAGGACTTCGACGCGAATCAAGCGGTGGTGACGAGGGCCTCCCAGGAGGCCGAAAAAGAGAAAACGAAGGAAGGGTAGAGGTATGGTCTTGAATCTTGAGCAGAGACCGACAGTCCCGGCACTCCTATAGGCAAGCCAAGACGCTTCGCCTCTGCTCGATAATCCACGCCCCCTGTTTGCGATCACCTGGTCTTTGCTTTGTTCCTCGACGCCCGGCTCCCCCAGCTGCGGCTGCTCGGCCACTGCGGAGAAGAAGGAGGAGGAGGAGGAGGAGGGGGAGGAGGGGGAGAAGGAGGAGGAGGAGGAGGAGAAGGAGGAAGAGGAGGAGGAGGAGGAGGAGGAGAAGGAGGAGGGGGGGGGCGTAATAGGGAGGAGGAGGAGGAGGAGGAGGAGGAGGAGGAGGAGGAGGAGGAGGAGAATCTCAAGGACCTGCCGCAGCCGTCGGGGCGGAATCACTCTCGGGCGGAGGGGCCGCGGTCCTCTGGCCGGCTCCTCCCGCAGCCCATCGGGCGGTGCGCCCGGGGCCCGTAACGGTGGCCGGGCGCGCCGCGCCGCCGCCGCCGCCGGTCCAGGGAGGGAGGCGGGGGGGAGGGGGAAGGGAAGGGAAGGGAAGGGGGCGGGGGGAGAGGGAGGAGGAGGGAGGGGGGGAGGTGAGGGAGGGTGAGTGAAGAGAGGAAGGGAGAGGAGTGGGGGGAGGAGGGGTAAGGAGGGAGGGTGGGGGGGAGGGGGAGGGAGGGTTGAAGGGGGGAGGGGGACGGAGGGGGGGGGAGGGGAGGAGGGGGGGGAGGAGGAGTGTGAGGAGCAGCGGGGGGAGAGGGGGGGGGGAGGTGGAGGTGGGAGGAGGAGGAGGGGAGAGAGAGAGAGGGGATGGAGGGGCAGGAAGGGAGGGGGGCGCAGCAGGGTGAAGCGGGTCGAGGCAGGGGGAGCATGGAGCATGGAGCGCGGGCTGGCCTCGGCCCCGAGGGCCCAGGGTCCAGGGAAGACAGCGGGGAGACACGCGCAAGTCGTACAACACCGTGCGCAGCGAAACGGGCTACACAGCGCGCGCGGCACGCCGCTTCTGCGCCTTCTGTTCACTGGGGTTGCAGGAGGGGGAGGTGGGCGATTGGGAAAGGGGCTCCTCCTCCTGCTCCTTTGCCTTCTCATCCTCCTCCTCCTCCTCCTCCTGCTCCTCCTCCTCCTCCATCTCCTCCTTCTCCTCCTCATGAGGTACTGCTCCCAAACTGGTCCATGACTTCTGGGCACTAGAGCTCTCACACCAACCGTTGTTGGCATCCAGAAGGGCACGTTGTATCCATCGTGTCATTTCGTCGCGCCGCAGTTTTCGCTGCCCTCCGTATTTGCGCTGAGCTGGCCTGGCGTCGTGGACAGAATGCTCCCTCCATGCTCAAGCGAGTCTGGTCCATCTGGATCGGGATCGTATTGCCATTGTCACAAAAGGGGGACAGGTGGTTGAGCACGCCACCTCCCGTCCCCATGGACGATCAAGCAAACAATCACTCAGGACAAGCAACTGGTCACCAGGACATCCGATGGTATAATGTGTTCAATCCGCTGCCCCAGAGGTCCCGAACGATTCCCTATGATTGATTACCAACCCTGCTGCGTGTTGAGCCATCGTTTTGAATTCGCAGCGCCGCGTTTCTCCTTCTTGTCCTCCCCCTCCCCCTCCTCCCCCTCCCGCTTCATCCACCTCTCCTTCTGTCCGCCCATTCCTGCACACCTCACACACTTCGTGCCCCACCAAAGAGCTCCGCTCATGGCGTCAGCGGTGTTGCTCGCATAGCGTCCACCCGCCCATTCTGGCACACCCCTCGCTCGATTGATGCCCTCCCAGGGAGCTCCACTCATGGCTTCAGCGGTGGTGCTCGCATGGCCCCCCCACCGCACATTTGGGCGCACCCCTCGCATGCTTCGTGCCCAACAGGGAGATGCACCTATGGGCTCAGCGGGCAGGTTCGCACGGCGCCCCCCCGCACATGTCGTCACACCCCTCACACGGCTCGTGCCCCGCAAGAAGATGTACGTCCGGCCCCGGTGGACGTGCTCGCATGGCGTCCCCCCCGCACATTTCGGCTCACCCCTCGAACGTTTCGGGCCCCAGAGACCTGCACCAACAACGGCATCAGAGGGCGTGCTCGCATGGCGTCCCCCCGCACATGTCAGCACACCCCTCAAACGTTTCGTGCCGCACAGTGACCTCCACCTATGGCGTCAGTGGGCTTGCTCGCACAGCGTCCCCCCGCCCAGTTCGGCGCAGCCCGCGCACGTTTCGTGCCCAACAGGGAGATACACCTATGGCCTCAGTGGGCTTGCTCGCACAGCGTCCACCCGCCCAGTTCGGCGCAGCCCGCGCACGGTTCGTGCCCAACAGGGATATACACCTATGGCCTCAGTGGGCAGGCTCGCATGGCGTCCCCCCGCGCCCTTTTGGGCGCAGCCCTCGCACGTTTCGTGCGCCACAGGGACCTGCACCACCTACAGCCCCAGTCGGCGAGCTCGCATGGCGTCCCCCCGCACATGCCAGCACACCCCTCAAAGGTTTCGCGTCCCACAAGGACCTGCACCCATGGCCCCAGAGGCGTACTCGCATAGCGTCCCGCTCGCATGGCGGCCACCATGGGCCACCCGAAGTGTATGTCCTCGTCTCCCTGGCCCCGTTCTGCTCCGCGTCGCGTTCATCGCCGTCTTCCCCATACGCTCCTCCCTCCTCCCTCTCCTCGCTCCCCCCTCCGCCATTTCTCCTTACAGGTAACTCCTCCCTGTCGCAGTCCGAGGCTGGTCGAACGGGTGGGTCGGGCGATTCGCCTGACACGTCCTAACAATCTATGATCCTGAAGCTGAAGCTTTGCAAGAGTTTCACGGATTGCGGGCGGCCTATCTTCAAAGTGAGGCCATCGCCTTAGCTTCAAACATTGCAAGAACTTCACGGATGTATGGTGGCCCGTATTCAAAATGTGACTCTCGCTTCAACGCCGCGCGCATTCGTCTTCAACAAACTGCCGGAGCTTCACGGATGGAGGGCGGTTCCTTTTCAACATGTGGCTCTTGACTCAGCGTAGTCTGTTGATGTCCCAGGAATAGCGCTCTGGCACAACCACTGCTCTTCAAGCGGCTGTCTTCCAACGGGGCACTTCCCCCGGCGAAAACGATTCCGCGCAGGGGCCCACGAAGGGGGGACTTGGAGGCAAGGTGTCTTGCAAGACCACCGGTCCCCCTCCCTCCTCCCACTCCCTCCTCCCACTCCCTCCTCCCACTCCCACTCCTCCCCCCTCCTCCCACTCCCTACTCCCTCCTCCCTCCTCCCCCACCTGGAGCCTTGGGCTTCCACTGGTCCCCCTCCCTCCTCCCACTCCCTCCTCCCCCGCTCGCCCTCGCCCACCCCTCGCCCTGCCCCCCCCCCCTCCCCGTCCTCCCTCGCCGCTCCTCCTCTGCAGGAGGAGGAGGAGGAGGAGGAGGAGGAGGAGGAGGAGGAGGGGGAGGAGGAGAAGGATGACGAGGAGGAGGAGGAGAAGGAGAAGGAGGAGGAGGAGGAGGAGGAGGAGGAGCAGCCGCTCCTCGTGTCCTGGCCCCGCCCTTCCCATCTCGCCCCCCTCGCGCCCCCTCCCGCCCCCTTCCGGCCTCGCCCCCCGCCTCCCCCCGACCCCCCTCCTCCTCCTCCTCCTCCTCCTCCTCCCCTCCGTCTCCTCCTCCCGCCCGCCCGCCCGCCCGCCTGCCCGCCCGCCCGCCCGCCCGCCCGCCCGCCCGTCCTGACGCCTCCCGCCCGCCGTCCTGACTCCGACCCCATCTGCTCCGACCCCGTCTGGGAGGTCTACGGTCGGGGCGTTGACCTAAGGAACCCTAAATAGAGAACGAGGTCCCTTTTTCTCATAAGTTAAACTTCGATTCCCCATGGGAAACCTCTGGAACACCCAAGGCAAACTGTGAAGCAATCGAGGAACACCGAGCCCCTCCCCAACGCAGAGGGTTCCTTCTTCAGCGCCCCGACTGCATAGATCATCCCGAGCACATGCAAACCAAGGTCAATCAGGCCTCGCAAAATCCTCCAGACTCCCACGAGAGAGGCTGGGCGCCAGTAGCCCGGGTCAGCGCAGCCCTGGCTCCGCAGGGTCCTGCAGGATCCGGCGCTCTGGCTGAACCCCGTTTGCATTGACCCCCGTCTCAAGGCTCCCGAAGACGACCACTGGGAAAACCAAAAGGTACCGATACCGCTACTCCCCAGACCTCGCCTGGCTGCGTTCTGACCAGAATTTCGAGGCGAATCCAGCGGTGGCGACAAGGGCACCCAAGGAGGCCTCAAAAGGGAAAACGAAGGAAGGGTACCCGTCTCGTTTGACGGCTGCCGGGGCCCGGCAAGTACCGCCCCGCGGAGGAGGACGAGAGGTCGTCAAGCTGTACAGCAGGAAGAACCGATCGTAGGTTAGAACCAAGGAGAAAACTAGAGAATAAGGAAGGATCCGAAGAGCATGAAAAACGGCAACACAAAGAAAGGAGAGTGCAGGTGTTCTTCGAAAGGCACTCGAACGATCCCTCCAGAGCGTGTCGAGAGAGAAAAAGTTGCTGACGATACGCGGACGATCTGAAAACGAGGACGCGAGGAGGTCTGGGCCAAAAGCCGGCCGACAAGGGCACCGCCGGCGGGAAACGGGCGGGCCGCGTCGCGCGTGCGGCCCGGCGGGCCTCTGCCGCTGCTGCTGCGAGGGGTCCATGCCGCCCGGGTCGGTCCTCCTGCCACGCCGCGCGCAGCGACTTCGCGCACGCGCGGGGGGCGGACAGGATCACTGCAGGTCCGTGCCGTGTCGACCCTGGCGTTGGTTCCTGACACCGCGCTGGATCGTTCAACCTTGAACGATCGGCCGTCTCCGCAACGTCCGATCGTTCAGCATCGACCGATTCTGGGCCGCCGTCGGCGTTCAACGTTGAACGTCGGCGGCGGGGTCGCCGCGGGACGAAACGACGCGAACCTACCGCAGCCAGCCTCGAAGCGTTGCAGTCAACCCGTATGACAAGGATGCTGCGCTGTGGGGATGCAGGGGCCTTGGAGGCCCATGTTGCTCATCGGTCGGAGGAAGCAGGCCAAGGCATGGAGCAGGAAGGCGGGTAAAGTGGATTGGGTCCAGGCCCTCCCAGAGAATAGCACAACGCAGCAGAAGCATGTCGATTCTTGAAGTAGGAAGGCGCTTGAAGTAGGTTGGAATCTGGGACTCCAAAAAAACCTTCGTACTTTCAACGACCGATGGGTAACGTGTTTCGAACGAGACTGGCCAGCGAAAATCGCCAAGGCTGGGCTGAAGGAGCAAGGATGAACGGGTACCCTTGGGAAGGTGGCCCATCTCTATCATCGATTTCGACTGTAGTTCGGCTACACGCAATTTGGTGACCCTAGACAAAAGAGACCTTTTGTGCACGACTTTCGGGAACCGCGGTGAGGCCAAACCCGAGCGCGCAAGACGCTGCTATCGCATCGAGTTCAAGCGTCCGGGGAACCCAGTTCGCTGGCACCAGAGGCCACTCCGGCGAAAGGTCACTCTTAGTAAGCGCCGATTTGCGGGCCCTGGAAACGACAGGGCCGCTCTTGTGACCAATTCTGTTTTGCAAGCGTT